ATCCATAAATCAAGTTTCTTGACATAAGCAAGGGTTTTTAATTTTTTTCAATGCATGTATGCGACACATTGAGCAGCTTCTCTGCAATATCTCGTGTTGTGCTGTGACGATTTGAATCGATAATGGCCTTGATATGGGTTTCATCCACTTCGACTGGGCGGCCAGATCGTTGTGAATTTTTCAGTGAAAAATCACCGGTACGAAATCTTTCAAACCAATTTCGACACTGCCTTTCTTTTAAGGCTTCATCTCCATATACGGCACATAACTTCTTTTGTGCTTGCGATGCGTTCTTGCCTTTTCGGAAGTAATACAATAAAATGTGTCGGAAGTGCACGTCCTGTTCTTTCATTTTTAAATTGGGATAAAAACAAAACTAAAGAACTAAACAAAAAATTTTTTCCTAATTAACCTAGAAGCCCATACAGTAAGAAAAAAATATAGGTTAGATGCTCTGGCCACGTTAACAAAACAAAAGAAAGTATAGAGTGAATCCGTCAACAAAAACGTCAATGACTTAGTTGCCAACCCAATATCTATCTATCATCTATCTATCTATCTATCTATCTATCTATCTATCTGTCTGTCTGTCTATCTATCTATCTATCTATCTGTCTGTCTATCTATCTATCTATCTATCTATCTATCTATCTATCTATCTGTCCGTCTGTCTGTCTGTCTATCTATCTAAAATTATTAAATGAAGTAGCGTTCCTGGATTCGTACAGTACCTTTAAAGAAATTTTCTTGCATAACGTCGTGTAATCAATGACCAAATGACAGTGAGTTCACTTGACCATGGCTGTCAAAATTCTAAAGCAAATACGCATTGTTTAAATGCAGAGTGAACTCCAATAGCTAATTTATTACAAATCTTTAAGAAATAAAATTATTCTCTTTTATAGTATAAGTGAATAGGAGCAGTATTAAGAAATTGAAGGTGTGATACAGTTTTGTAGATTTTCATGTTACAGCTAGAGCAATTTCTCCATGCTCTAACTCCAGATAAACTATTCGTCTAAACTTCTCATCCAATGCCCCACAGCAAATACCGATTACACTACAAACATAGAAGGCGCTAGCGAATAGAGGCTGATATAAGTATCGATGAATTATCACGCCAACGAAGATTTCAGCAGCTGTTGCAACGATTGCCGCAAACATAGACTGGAAGAAAAGTGTAAGGAATAGAAGCGAATACCATTACCACAAATAGAAGTGATCTCCTTCTCTTTATGGCCGCACAAATTCCAATACTTGAATATGCAAATAACACAATCGAGCTCAAAAGTAGTCCCCATTCTATTAAAGGATCCTTTCTGATTTTCTTTACATTGAGGTCTATTATATAATACACAACACGGAATGCCGTTGCAATAGCCGATACCTTGTATAAAAATAAATATAAGCTGAATGCAGGTTCTTACCATAATAATCAAGTTACACAAAATCAGAAGCCGTCCTGTGCATCCTAGCGCAATCCAATATCTGCCCTCCATCTGATAAAATGCATTGGGTGCTTTCTTTTAACTAAAATTCAGCTGGATAGCCAATGGTGAGTAAGTTGATTGAATGACCTTAAGGTAAATTAACCAATGAACATCTAGTAGATATTTAAACATCAGCCTAAACAGGATAAACATATTTTATTCATAATTTAATCAAAAGTTATTATTATTTCAAATGGCAGGCTTTGTGATATTTATCATAACATTTAAACTTTGACTTCAGCTTCCCCCATGGGTGGGTGGGGGGGGGGGGGGGGANCCCCCCCCCCGGGGGGGGGGGGGGGGGGGGGGGGGTACATTTATAGCAGTTAATTAATAACAGTTCATTAGCTGTCTTCTTGCTTCCCAGTATCTTTGGCTTTCCGTCCTTGTCTTTAGGGCTGGACATCGAATCAGGTGGGTTTTCTCCATTTCCTCGTGTAGGTTACATAGGGGGCATGTGGGTTGAGTGTATAATCCCAATCTGTGAAGGTGTTTTGCCAAGCAATCGTGTCCGGTACGTAGTCTAAATTCAACAACGGCTTCGATTCTTGGCCAGTCGGCTACGTCGGAGAATGCCACTGTTCACTGTTTCGCCTTTGTTCGAGCTTTAAGTTCGTTGCACCTTGAGGTCTTGAATTTTCTTCTGATTAAGGCCTTCATTGTGTGGAAAGACATCGGCCGGTCCATGCATTGCAAAATCGTTGTCCCCTTCTTAGCAAGTGTGTCAGCGAGCTCATTGCCTTTAATGCCACAGTGACCAGGAATCCATTGCAGGACCACTGTTTTGTTTTTCTCTCTCAGCAGCTGATAGAGTTTTTAACATTCCTTTATCTCAGCTGTTTTGGGTGGCTCTCTGCTTCCAGTTGAGTTTATTGCTGATTTCGAGTCCGAAAGTATCACCGCTTTGGTGAATTTCGTATCCAAGCAACATAATTGGCCTATAGTTGTTAAAGTTGCTAGGGTCTTTGCCCTTTTTAGTACTGGTATTACTATGGCAATTTTCAATTGGTTATGTGCAGCTTTTAACAGCTCCCTGTGGAAGGCCTGTTTGTAAGAGATTGGATTTTGATAGAGCATTTCCATATCTGACTTTACACAATCTTTGTCCAATGAATGCTTTTATCCAGTTTAGCATGTTATGCTTAATACCAATCTTTGCCAATTTTAGAATTAGCTTCTCTTTCCATACTAAGTCATATACTGATTTGAAATCGACGAAAACAGCCGTAAGGGTATTTCTTGCATCAAGGGCATCTTTGATGTGTTGGGAGAAAGTGGCTACTTGTTGGTTAGTTGATTTTTGNTTTCTCTATTGTTTTGGAGATTACCCAGGAATTTGAAAGTACGTTAGCTATCACTTTGATAGTTGATATTTGAGATGAACTTGTCAAATAAGTCCCTTTAGCTTGTAAGATGGCTTGCCTTAGGACAGCTGATTGTCGTCTCCAGGCTTGTACGTCTTCCGTTCTTCCAGTCTGATCAGCAGTGTTGCGAAGGAAGTCCCGCTTTCTTTTCAGTTCCTCAAGGTTTATAGACCAAAACACTCGATAGTGTTTAGTCTTGCATCTGGAAATAGTTTTCTTTGCTCATCGGATCATAATATTCGTGATATCATTGCAATGTTTGTCAGGGTGTTGGTTAAAGTTGAGGGGACTTGTGTGAAGTTCATTGTCTAAAAGGTTTGTGAATCTAGGTCAGTCAGCCTTCTTGAAGTTCCATGATAGCTTCGTTGGCACTTTCCTTGACATGCTTTTGCTGCCGATGGTAATACTAGCAATGACTGGTTTGTGACCAGAAACAGGATCGTCAATTATTTTGCAGCGTGTATGCTCGCTGATGTCGGTTGAAGCCAGGAGCAAGTCAGGAGTTGTTCTGGTTCCATTGTAGTGCAAATATGCAGCCGGATCCTCATTGCTGTAAATAAGTTCCAGAGGGTTGCTGTTTAGCATGTCTTCGATTTCCTTTCCAGCTATGTTTGTATCCTTGTAATCCCATCTGGTGGAATGGGCGTTGAAGTCTCCTAATACTACAGTTTTGTGTGAGATGTTCAGAAAGTCAAAGTTGGGAAAATTCTGGGGTGGATTATAGACTGCATATATCTTGAAGTGGTTTTAACATTTCCAAACATTTTATCTGATTATTTCACATATGTCTTGTGTCGAGCCCATACTCTTGGTTAGATCGTAGTGTGAGGTGAGACCTTCTTCAACTCCAGTCAGAATTCCACTTGCAACTTGCCGGTATTTAGGTAGAAGATACAGGGTGTAACCTGGGAATTGATAGTACTTCAGTTTGTCACCCGAATGGTTTGCTTCCATAATTGTGAAAATGTCTACATCATAGGTTTGTAGGATTTTCTGTACTTGGATCTTTTTGTCCTGTGACTTCAAAGATCCAGCATTCCACTGGAGGATCTGAAGACGTTGTGATTCGCCCTGACGAGGGCGATTTCTCTTATAGCCTTGTTCCAAGCTTATCATAATAAATCGAAGTCAAATCAAATGCCGAGTGATTGACTTTTTTGCCGTATGAAGATACGTTGTCCAGAGTGCACCACGTGGAGGTAAGTCTATCGCGTACCCCATTTAATCAAAAGTAAGTAAAACTCTTTGAGGGCAATCAATTTATTCAAACAATAGTAAAGAAGGCTCACACACACACAAAGTGATACCTCCGGAGAGACGCTCTAGGTGTTATAAGTCACACTTTTCTGTCGGAGCTAAATAGCCAAGCATATTTCTTCCACATTTTAAATGGGAAAAATCCCATTTCACGGGAAAGCATCCAAAACCGCAAAAAAGGACAGTATTGTAGTTGTGTGCAAATATTTGCAGAAGGATAGGAGAACAGAGTCGCCATGGAGAGACAGTCAACATGGATTTTCAATGCCTAGTTTCCGGTTGGTATAAGTCTTGTAAATGACAACGTCGGTAAAAGTATCAGCAGATCCAGTTTTGAGCAAATTTAAAAGGTATAAATTTACATGACCCAATAAAATGTTGTCTCAAGTGATACGGCCATCCCTTCTTAATTAAAATAAAGCCAGCAAGCATGGAAAACAGAAGACACGCACTTTCTCATACTCATGAAATTTGAGTCACAGAAAGTGAGGCATTTATTAATAAATTGGCCTACTATCCATTTAAAAAAAGTAATAGAAGTAATAAAGAGTATTGAGTTACTTTCAATACTTGGTAGAATTTCAAACTACACTACGTCATGTTTACATTCGGTGTTTGCAAAAAGACGGTTTGGTGGAACATTATATTATTGTAATGCGTAGTTATGTCTCAGTCGCCCTACAAATTAAAGTGGTTTCCAAGTGTCAAATGAAGAAAGGAGGCTCTGAGTGGTCTAGTCTAAAGGCGTCTCTTGAAATGAGGTGATATGAGGTGATAAATAATATGTGAGGTCATTCACGTGTATTGACCCAAATTGGTAACTTGAGTTCGTCATCCAATATTTCAGCTGCAAGTATACACGCATCAACGCAAATACATTTTGACTCACTCACGTCTAGCCACAAAGCGCTGGCGCCTCTTTTCAAAAGAAAAACACATAGCGTAACTTTAATGTAAACTGTTATTATTATTATTAATATTATTATTTGTTAATTTTCCTGTAGAATAGTGGTACAGGGATTCGGAGAGAAAGAAGAAGAGCAATCTTAAGCTAAATTCTAGCATGAAATATGGAATAAGTTTACATGGGCAATGATATCATGATGGCTTAGCATGGAAATATAAGTAAAAAATGGGATCACAGCAGAACAATTCATGCCTTGATAGGTTGATGTTAGACAACACAAATCTCTTCCAAATGAGTTATTTTGCGCAAACATCTCCGATAAGCAGTAAATTCGGTACTTATATGGGCGCTTTATCATTCGATAATATTTCTAAGGGAGTTCTTACACTAGTTTTGCGGGGAGCGTGACAGACTTACTTTCACGAGGTGCACCATTGGCAACGTCTACTCATACGCCAAAAAATCTTTAAATTGGCAATTGACTTCTGCCTTCAAACTAGCATGACCCCACTGTATGTCATATTTCACCACTTCTGCAATACTCACCTTACCTTTTCTCTGCATTTGTGTCTGCCTGTCACTTTGACATCTGAGAATCACTCTTCTGTTCCCCCTATCCTCTTGTCTGTGATTGATGTTCCTCCCCTCTGTGAAGCCCAAAGTCAGGTAAAGGGCTAACAATAACTTCCACGGAGACTGCTATTTGATATAAATAAATTTATTTATTTCGAATGGCAGGCGTTTTGGTAACTATCATTGGCCCTTTAGCTGACTTCGAGCTTCACAGAGAGGAGAAAAATCAAAGGGGGAAAAATTTGAGAGGAGGGAGAGAAGAGTAATTCATAGATGTAAGAGAGACAGACGGATACAAAGACAGAGAAAGGGTAAGATGAGTACTGCGAAGGGGTAGAATATGACATACAGTGGGTTGATGGTAGTTTGAAGTGAGAAGTCAACTGCCACTTAATAGACTTTTTATGTCGTATGAGTATACGTTGCCCAGGGTGTACCACGTGGAGGTAAGGCTATCGCACACCCCATATAAATAAATAAATAAATAAAAAATAAAAATACTAGTTTTACTTCACTATTAACCACTTCGTGCTTTGATTCTTCATTGAATCGCCTCTTCCTTATAGATTTTATTTAACTCTTTCGCTTTTTCAATGCTCGAACGAGAAAACATACAATCTAATTTTTACTTAATATTCAATTATATTTTTTACATAAATGAAGTATGTTTATTGTCTTAAATGAGAAGCTTGTAGGTCTGTGGTTGATTTGTGAGGAAAGTTGAATTCTGACAAATATCCAAAGTTTACTCAAGCAATACTCTAACCCCCCCCTTCCCCCTCATAAACTGTAAACTTTGAGCCATCCTAATACACTGATCAAGTACAAATTTAACATCTAAAATTTTGTCAGGCAAAAATCAGGTAACATTAACTTTACCCTGTATCGAAGGATCCTCTGTGTGTGTGTGTGTGTGTGCGAAAGGAAATTAAGATTTTCGTAATTTTTATCAAAAAATAAACACTTATCCACTATTCTTGCTGTTAGTTAATATTAAAAATCTTAACCCGTAGCTTTTACTTTATAGAGTATTCATTAAAAATGAATATTAAATCGACCTTCTTTTAATAAATTAGATGATGAATATAATCATATCGCTTTATGAAATCATAGTAACAAAATCAAATTATTGCGACCTTGGTTGAAACAATTTATTCCACTTTTAACTCTAATATACACTTTCTAGCTAATAACTTAAGTAGATTATCAATTTGGTTTATGAAATTGCTTAGATCCATTGACAAAATGAGATTACTATTGTTTTTATGCTATACAAATTCAAACGAGCCCGTGGCTAAGTTCATGCGCATATAATAATTTAAAATCCTACAACAGCACCATTAATAACATCTTATGAATACAATCGTTGTCAGTCCAATAAATTTTAAAAGTCATAGAACCTGTTTTGAGGTTACAACAAGGACATTTTTTAGTTCGCTTCTTTTTGGAAAATTGTACACGCTTCAAACAATTAAAGTTTTCAAGTAAGGAACTAAATTTCGTGCATATGTCAATCGAATAATTTATTTATAAATCAAGTCTTTGTTTCCACCGATTGTCTTTTCATTAAGGCATTAAGTTGAATTTCGAGTTCTTCACGCAGAATGCGTTCATATTGAATTTCCGCCATTAGATTTGAATGATCTCTCCTAATTAAAACAACAATTTTTAATAAATAAATAACAAATCCTTTTACTCAGGCTGAATTCCGCTTTTTATCAGTTCAATTTCTTTTCCACCACGGCGGAAATATTCCGCCTTTTCTAATCGTAGCTGGTCATCCAAAAGTACTATTCTTTCTAAAACTAAAATAGAAACTGTTATATTTTTTCTTCTTTTTAATAGTTTGAAGATTAAAATATCCTTAAAGTCATTCGTACTAACAAATCAAAGTGGAGTACTTCAGAAATATGTCTAGAGGGTTTTGATCGCCAGATAAAAGCAACATATGTGATCCCATTGAAAGAATATATATAAAAGCTATAAACTAAGCAAATAAATTTTAGTGAGAGTCTTAATTGGGACTGGTTAACTAACCTTTGTGCAAGGGCACGTCTCCTTTCTCATTCTTGCTATTCATATCGATCACACAGGTACGTATCGGTTCACTAATTCTGTCTATATCGCGCTCCCATGATGGAGAATGACTTGGATGGGTATTTGGCTCAAGCTCCTTGCCCCATTCTAAATTGTCGATAATCCCGACAACTGCTGATTTATGAAATTTTTTTGCTAAGTCCTTAGGAGTTTCCCCGAAATCAGTTCGCATTCCCAACTGGGTCAACCAATTCTTATTTAGTGAAAGCAGAAATTTGACAACTTCAATGTGACCTTCTCTAGCAGCTAAATGCACTAAAATATGAGTAATAACGAGGAAAAAAATAATTTCAAATAGCAGGTGCAAAGAGATAAAATACAGGGGGTTTCTCCAGAAGAGGTTTTAGCAAGGGGATCTGCCAAATGATCAATTAAAATTTCACAACATCTAATATGACCATGATATGCGGCCTTATGCAACATTGTCCATCCTCGATTATCTGCGGCACAAATATCCTTTTAAAAACAACATTATTTATAAGAAATATTTAAGTTAATGTATGTACTGTTTTGTTTTCAAGCAATAAATTAAGTGATTCAACATTTCCGTGCAGTGCGGCTAAATGGCCTGGAATTTTGCCGTCAATTGTTTTGGCATTTATAGATGCACCACGAGCCATTAATATTTTAATACATTTTGTGCGGTTAAGTAAGGCGGCTATATGCAGAGAAGTCCAACAACGCTCATTTTTGATATTAGGGCAAGCAATCTTCCAAAGCAAATTTTTGAGACCCTATGAATTTAAGTGTAACATTGGACTACTTCATAATTATTTTCTCTAATAGTGCTACATAGCAAATTCCAATCCTTCATGCACATTATCTATAAGTAAGTGTATTCGTAACTACGCCAAGTTGTAGACGCTAAATTGTGCGACCTTTAAACATATAAACGCGTATTTAACAATCATCAGTGATATGAAAGCTAGGTTTGAAAAGCAGTCTGATATTCTTAATTTAAAATACCTTTATTTGCTGAAAGTAATCGCAGGAATTAAGTTTAAATATATAAATCAAATAACTTAATAAATATAACAGTGCCACTTTTAAATATTTTTTATAAATCAAGTAATACTGTGATTAACATTAGCTAATTTTCTGCCTAAATAAGAATTCATTAAAGGTTATTCTCTTAGCGGAAATTTTTACTGAAATATGCAATTATTATTGGACAATTTTTTCAGTTTTTTCTGAAATTTTAGAGATAGAAATTTGGTTAAAGTAAATGAAGCCATTTGCCCTATATAGTTACTTATCACGTTAATCTCTACAATATATCATATCATATTATTCATTAGGGTTATTTAACGTTATACGTTATGTGGAGAACCGTTTATTGCAATCTAAAAGAAATTTAGATTTGAACCATATTTAGTATTTTAAAATAAAGAGAAAACCTAAGAACTTTAAGCTTTTAGTTCATTATCTTAAAATGTAAATCAAACAAACAATTGTGGGACACTCTATCAATGACCAAATAGAAATCCTGCTATAGAATATTACTCAGAAATATTTCGCTATTAATGTTCACGCGAATCATGCTAGAGTTATCTGATAACTAATCGATTTACCAAACACACACTTCGCTATCAATATACATACCGAATAAACGTATTCCGTGCCACACCTCTGTTTCCCTTATAGCTGGGCTATAGCTTAGGTTGTTCTGGGAGTCTAGCTAGATGTTGGAGAATCTCCGGTTGTTCTGGGAGTCTAGCTAGATGTTGGAGAATCTGCCTTAGAGATTTCTGAATCGGCCAGCCTTTACTAGCGTAGCAATCCGCTACACAATTATGTCAATAATCTGAGGTCAGATTATTATTTATTTTGTGCCAACACCAAAATGAACTTAAAATGCGGAATTTTATTTAAAATTACAGTTCTTTATTGTGAAATATTTCGGTTTTATCGAAACTGTAATATTGATACATTATGTTAATAGTTTTATTGTCACGAGGACAACTCATTGTTCTTTATGATATTTGATACGAAGTGAGTTTTTCAGCACTGATAGTCAAGATAAAATTCCTCTCGAAAAGTCGTGCTTTGTTCTCCGATTACCTTGCATTCATCTTAATAGTATCAATGAAATTGATGGAATTTTATGGATGATTTAGGTCGTTGTAATCTAGTAACATAATTTCTAATTGAATTCTATTTTGGGGTTAGTAATAATCAACGAATTAAATATGTATTCTTCAAATTGAAGGAATACAAACTCATTGACTCAGAATTGCTATATTAAATTCAACTTATTATCCAAATATTGCTGACTAACGAGAAGCAAAAGATTCATTTAATTTTCTCAAAACCCTCCAATGACCCTCTACTTGTGGATCTTAAAAACTAAAAGACGTAAATTTTAAATGAATTTCTATTGATCTGGTACTTTAGTTGTCACTATAAATGTACATTTATAATATTTAAGTTAAAAGGAGGAATTCGATAGTATCTAACTCTCAGCTTGAATTCGGCGGATTTATTGACCACCTTCAGATTGTGTTAAAAATTAACTCACAGACTTAGGTTCTATAATTTTTTAAATGTCAATCACATTTTGTTATCAATATTATCCAGGATGTTTCAGAAACATTCTAATGAGAGTGGGACATGAGAACGCATTACGATTAAGAGATTAACAGAATGCCTAATAATGGAATAGGACGCTTTAAAGTTGTAACAAGTGACAAAAATATCTGCCCATTAGGAACTGGTAACTATATCGCCAAGGTCAGGCCATAACAGAAGCTGTGCTTGAATACAGTTACGTATGCAGTTGTCGATCATCGCTGGGAGAAATCGTACATACAAATGTAAGGCCATTAAATTAGACAAGGACTTGTGAACTCTTTCCCTCTTATATAGGTTTTGTTTCATAGATTCTCACTCGCTTTCCCACTCTCGCTAGGGATGTTCGCCTTCTTATTTGAAGATTTTGGCACACTGTTCTAAATAAAATTTATAAAAATCTTAATTCTCATCCTTTTCCTTCTCCTCCTCCAGAGTGAACGCTATTAGATATTGCGCGGCGCCTCTCCGTGACAATCGTGTTGGCAGAATGTCGTGATATGCTAAACACGTGATGGTGAGCTCGACTCAGTTTTATCAGACCCTCCGCGGCAAGTGAATTTATGTCTCTGCCTTGTACATATAATAAACACGATCTCAATATGGCCAGTTCACAATTTCCAGTAAAAGGTAACGTTATAAGAGATATGAAACTATACGGGAAAATCACTAGAAGGTCACCTATTTCTTCGCCAATTCATCAGATAAAAAGTTGCTTCAATTAGAATGGATTTTGGAGTAAAAAAAACGTGATTTTAAAAATTTAAATAATGTTAGCTACTACCCTAGCAGTGAATTCCAGCTTTTTATCTCTGGTGATATATTTGTGTTCATTTAATTTTGACCCGATAAAGTGAACTAATTAATGAAATGATATTATTAGTATTGTTACAAATTATTAGGCGTAATGAATTTTCCCCATTTTATTTTGAAAATAAGAACAAGAATTTTGCCATTTCAAAGCAGCAACTTCCAATCAAAAGAATGTAAATAAACAGTTTTAAATAATCCCAAATAAAAACGTGATATTAGAGCACTTACTTGTTTAATTTGGATAACTATATATCGAAATGTTATATGTGCACCGCCTTTTAATTAACAGCTGAAGATATAAATAAAATTAAGAGACGAAATGTTGGGCCGCAATCTTTATTACAAGGATTCGCTTGAAGGTCATTTACTGATGTGCCATAGAGCGCATTCGATGTCATACTGGCAAACACCAAATACCCCTTTGTGAATTGTTGTTTCTGGTGGTTAATAATATAGCTTGAGATTTATTTCATTAATAATTTGCATCGATAGGCGGGGTGTGCGATAGACTTACCTCCACGTGGTGCACCCTGGGCAGCGTATACTCATACATCAAAAAAGTCTATAAACCGGAAGTAAACTTTGAACTAACTTGACCCGACTGTATGCCATATTCCATCACTTCACGGTACTCACCTTACCTCTTCCTCTACTTATGTGTTTGTCTTTTTTACATCTGTGGATCACTCTTTTGTTCCATTCTCGAATTTTTTTATGCTGTTAAGCGGGGGAACCTAAACCTAACTAGTGGTCGGAACATCAACGCTGCGATCAGAGAAAGAACTGTACTCGATAAGCTTTTTTGTATTCACATCATTAAACGAATTTCTTCTATGATCAATACACTCTCTACACGGCTTAATTTCGGTAAAACGCACAACTAAAAATTAATACACATGAAATGAATATGATTGGCTTAAAAGTTGCTTAGAGTACGAGTATAGGGAAGATTTAATTTCCTAAAGTGACAAATTAAGCCAATTTCAATATTAATTCAATTTGTCTATTTAGCTTCCCGCTTAAATTAGAAAAAGACAGGAAAGTTAAAGTCAAAGGAGGAGGGGGGGGGGGTTTCATTTTGCAGACCTGGACATTAAGAACAACTACTTAATTCCATTTTGATGCGAAGCACATTTTGTTGAGATCATCTCGAATTTTACTCGTCCTTAATTAAAGGCTTGAATGCAATAAAATTTTTCTTTAAAACTTTTCCTCACCGATATAAAGTATTTTTAGCAAATGTCACTAGAACTAATAAGGAGATATTTCATTTTTTATAGCACTTATCTTATCTGCAATCGAAGTATTTATTACGATGTTGAAGTACTGCACAGCAAAATGAACATAAAAAAGTTGAGCTTTGTTCAAACATTATCAAATCGATTTTCATTAGAAATGATATGCGAATCTTTTTGGGTGTGCACCAAATACTTTGAAACAAGCCAGATTTATTCACTGAATAAATATTCTAGAACTGTCAGTTTTCTTTAAGCTTAGCAAAAATTTCGTCCACGTACTAGAGCAATTTTTCGAGAACACGAACCTTTATTAATTAATGTTTTTAAAGCACGCAACACAATACAGTAGATATTTTGCTTTGAAGAAGAAAAAGAATATATATATATATATATATATATATATTGGGTGGGCAACTAAGTCATTGCCGTTTTTGTTGACAGATTCACTCTATACTTTCTTTTGTTTTGTTAACGTGGCCAGAGCATCTAACCTATATTTTTTTCTTACTGTATGGGCTTCTAGGTTAATTAGGAAAAAAAATTTTTTGTTTAGTTCTTTAGTTTTGTTTTTATCCCAATTTAAAAATGAAAGAACAGGACGTGCACTTCCGACACATTTTATTGTATTACTTCCGAAAAGGCAAGAACGCATCGCAAGCACAAAAGAAGTTATGTGCCGTATATGGAGATGAAGCCTTAAAAGAAAGGCAGTGTCGAAATTGGTTTGAAAGATTTCGTACCGGTGATTTTTCACTGAAAAATTCACAACGATCTGGCCGCCCAGTCGAAGTGGATGAAACCCATATCAAGGCCATTATCGATTCAAATCGTCACAGCACAACACGAGATATTGCAGAGAAGC